GTCCTACTGTGTTTAGCAATAACATCCATTTGGGCAAAGAAGAAATGGTTGTTTGGCCATCTTGTATGCATTAAAACTTGTGAAAGCAAAAATCAAGCATATACTGTTTCAAACAGCCCTATTTGAGGTTATGGTACGCCTTCAGGGCCAGGAAAACAAGCTACAAGCATATTGTAGTTTTCTCAAGGTGTCTAGGAAGTGTTCCAAATTGCTAGTACTGGCATAAGGAGAGTGTTACTGACTGTTTGATCAGTTGTACGTTTGCTTAAGGTAATCAGGATAGCAAGGGAGATTCCAATAGCTGGTAATAAAGAAATAAAATTGCTCCATGACTCAAGTCTCTGCTCATTCACAGAAAAATAAACAGTAGAAATAGAGCTTTCACTAAGCACTAAAAAATCATTAACATTATGGTAAGCCAAATAGATTTATTTATTTATTTATTTTTCAAAGTTTATTAAATTATAAAATTTTATAAATTTTATAAAATTATAAAAGTTTCCATTTCCGCCCCTCCTCCCAACACCCTCCCACTCCCCCCACTCCCTCTCCTGCTCCCTCTCCATCCCTAAGAGCAGTCAGGGCTTCCTGCCCTGTGGGTAGTTCAAGTTCCTCCCTCCTCCCTCCAGGTCCAGGAAGGTGAGTATCCAAACAGACTGGATCCCAAAAATCCAGTATATGCAGAGTTAAAAACACCATTAAAAATCTATTTGGCTTGCAGTCTTTCTGAAAAGCCAAATAGATTTTTAGTGGTGTTTTAACACTGCTGAACACATGCCCAGTGCTCTCGGGAGAAATGGGTATGTTATTACCGAGTGTATGTGAATATATGCATGTAAGACATTCATTGCTGTGCATCTTTACTGAATGTGTGTGCATGTGTTTGTGTGTGTAAGAGAAAGAGAGACAAAGAAACTAGCTTTTTGAAGGCTGTTTCTCCTTCCACCATGTATGTTTCTAATACCAAACCAAACAGGTCCTCAGGTTTAGCAGCAAGAGCCTTTACCCAGTGAGCTATTTTATCAGCCCTCTATTGACAATATTAGGCGATATTTATAATTTATTTTTTATTGAGTAATAGTTATGTAAATATTCTTAATATATATCATTACCAAATACATTATTTAAAAACTTATTCTCCCCCTCTATGGGTTGCTTTTTGGTAATATTCTTTCACATTTACGAAATTCTACTTAATAATTTTATTTTCTTTACTATTGATATTTATCTGTAAATTTGTTTCTAATTATAGCTTCAAAATCATCTTTCTGTTTTTCACTAGGAGTTTTATAATTTTAGTTCTAAATAAAGAGATTTCATACTTTTGTGTAACTTTTCATGTGTAGCATGAAAATGAGACCCATTTCATTATATACATGTTCAATTTTCTAAGAATAATTGTAAAAATACTAATCATCTTGTTACCATCTTGCATTATTAACATAAATCAATGACTATAAAATGAAGTGCTTACTTGTAAAAGTAAGCACTTGATAATATTCTTGATAATAGTCTTTTGATATACACGTGTATACTTATGTCAATATTGTATATATAGGTGTATGTTTGTGTATGTTTGTGTGTGTGTTTTGGTCTTTTGAGTATTTCATATATGTGTACAATGAAGTGTGATTATAGTCACACTCTGCATGTCAAACCCTTCAAATCCTACCTTACATCTTTCCCAGCACATCCCCATTACAGCTTTATTTATTTGTCATTCCTTCTTCTTCTTCTGTAATTAATTAGTGCTGCTTGTATGTGAATAAGTATGGAGCCATCCATTGTGGCTTTGAAGTCTACCATTAGCAACACCTTCAAAATGGATGATTCATCCCCAAAGGGATGAATATAGGATAGAGTCTTGAGAGTACCTCCGAATCAATGTCAGAATTTGAATGGCCTCTTAAGAGTTCTTGTTCAGACAAAAAAATAGATGCTGTGAGTTCATGAATGCGCAAATCATGTCTTTCCCAGAAGACAGAATTTCAAAGAACCCCTACCTAGCTTCTGGCTATTACATTTTTTGCGATCTCTTTCAAGATGTCTCCTGAACTCAGCTGAAGGGGTGAGAGGTTGATAAAAACACTCCGAATAGGGCAGAGTGTTCAGAGTCTCATATTCTCAACACTTTAACCAGATATGAATATCTGCATTGATTGTTGCTTAGTACAAAAAGAAAATTCTCTGACAGATGTCAAGAGCTAGACTAGCATATGGACAAAAACATAAATAATTGGAAGGTGATTTGACAACATAATTACTTAACAATAATAGGCTCTACTCTATGGCTTTCTAGATTCTGCCCACTGATATCTACAGGAATATGCTCTACCTTAGGGTCACTATGACCTCCACAGCCACAGGATTTTGACCAGAATTATAAGATTAGACATAAAATTATGTCTTGTGGAAAAATCTTCAGATATAATCAGAATATATTAAGTTATTCCCAAAGCGTTATGCCCCCATTGTTCCAGTAAACACATTTTGCCTGTCAGGTCAGTACTGTAACATACAGGGTCCGGCACTGGATAAGACCATTGACATAATTTCTGCCACAGCATGTTATATAATACTTTCCTGAAACATGAAAAGTAGTTCTTTACATTTTTCTGCAAAAGTGTATAGTGTCTTCAGCAACAGTATCTTACCATGTAGTTGTGGTTGGTAACCAATTGCAATGTCAGTAGCTTATGTTGATTTGGAGATTTCTGAGGCCTCTTTGACCAATAACACATTAGAGAAGTATCTCATATATTATAGTGTGAATGTCCTTCGTCCATCTCATCTCTCCCATTCCTCAAGTTCTTACCCATCTCTCTTCCCCTCTTTTCCTTCTGCCCTCTCTTTTCCCCCACTCTCATGTTTCCAATTTTGTCAAGCAATCTTATCTATTTCCCCTTTCCAGGTAGATCTATGTATGTTTTTCTTCGGGTTCACTTGGTTACTTAGCTTCTCTAGGATCATGCACAATAGGCTACTTATCTCTTTCTTTACACCTTCTATCCACTTAGGTGTAAATAGATACCATGTTCTTCTTTCTGTGTCTGTGTTACCTCAGTCAGGATGTTTTTTTCTAGTTCTATCCATTTGCTTGCAAATTTCAAGATGTCATTGTTTTTTACTGCTGAGTAGTATTCCATTGTATAAATGAATCATATTTTAAGAAAATCTCAAACCCAAGAAAGCTAACTGCTCCCATGAAAACACAGGAAACAGATAACCTCACACCAGCAAACCCTAAGGAAGGAAAACACACAAAAATAACAGTAATTAACGATCACTGTTCATTAGCATCTCTTAATACCAATGGATTTAATTTACCAATAGAAAGACACAGGCTAAGAGATTGAATACAAAAGTAGGATCCATCTTTCTACTGCATACGAGAAATATACCTCACCCTCAAAGACAGTCATTACCTCAGAGTAAAGGATTGAGAAAAGATTCTCAAATCACATGGACCTTAGTAACAAGCAGTTGTAGCCATCCTAATATCTAACAATATAGACTTCAAACTAAAATCAATCAGAAGAGATGGAGAAGGACACTTTATACTCATCACAGGAACAATCCATCAAGATTAATTCTCAATCCTGAACATCTATGCCCCAAATAAAAGTGCACCCACATATGTAAAAGAAACACTAATAAAGCTTAAATTGCACATCAAATCCCACATACTAATGGTAGAAGACTTCAACGCCCCACTATCCCCAATGGACAGGTCAAACAGACAGAAACTTAACAGAGAAATAAGAGAACTAACCGATGTCATGATTCAAATGGTCTTAACAGAACTTTACAGAACATTCCACCCAAACACAAAAGAATACACCTTCTTCTAGAATCTCATGGAACCATCTCTAAAACTGACCGCATATTTGGTAACAAAACAAACCTCAGTTGATTAAAAAACACTGGAGTAATCCCCTGTATTTTATCGGGTCACCATGGTTTAAAGTTAGAATTTAACAATATTAATTGCATAAAGCCTACAAGCTCATGGAAATTGATCAGTGTTCAATTGAATCACCCCTGGGTTAAGGAAGAAATAAAGAAAGAAATTAAAGACTTTCTAAAATTCAACAAAATAAGGGCACAATGTACAGAAACCTATGAAACACTGTGAAAGCAGTGCTTGTTTTCTTAGTAGTCTTCCTGGACTATATAAAGGTTATTTATTTTCTTTGGTATGTATCAATTTTCTAATGGATGACAGAAACAGACATCAACTAAAGAGATACCTTTTTAGGAAAACAGTTCAGATTTGTAAATACAATACATCTTATTTGAATATGAGTAGTGTTTTGAATACACAGTTTAAATCCTATACCGGCTAATTTTATGTCAACATGATATAAGCTAGAGTCATCATAGAGGAGAGAGCCTCAATTGGGAAGATGCCTCCATAAGATTTGACTGTAGATATTTTCTTAGTTAGTGATTGATTGGGGAGGGCCCAGTTCATTGTGAGTAGGTATGGCCATCCTTGGGCTGGTAGTCATGGGTTCTATACAAAAGTAAGGTAAGCAAATACATAGGAGCAAGCCATTAAGCATTGCTCCTCCATGACCTCTATATCAGCTCCTGCCTTCAGGTTCCTGCCATGTTTGAGTTATTATACTGACTTCCTTTGATGATGAACAGTAATTTGGAAGCATAAGCCAAACAAACCCTTTCCTCTTCAGTTTGTGTTGTTTATTGTGTTTCATGGAGGCAATAGTAACTTTAAGGCATTCCCCATAGCTCAAAATCTTTAGGTGTTTGACTGTAACTGGTGTTCTGACAAGATATGTTGAAATACTGTGTGTGTGTTTTTAAAATGTCTATTTGAATTACTAACTTGAATAATGACTATCCAAGAAGAGAGGCTATTACCCAAATTATTTTTACTTGCTCATTTTATTTTTCTATGTGTATATTTTTATTTCATAGACATTAGGTTTGTAATATCATGAAATTTGTAGTGAAAGGACAAATACTGGAGGTTAAACAATCATATAATGCAGCTTCAGAACTGTAGGAAAGCAAAAAATGAATATAAAACAAACTAAATTTAAATACTGTTGCAAGTTTCAAAAAACTTTCAAGTGCCATCCCTTTAGAATCTTGGAGCAAATTACCTTGAATTTCAGTAAATCAAGTTTATTCTTGTCCAAACCTTTCATTACTGTGTAGACTTTACTTCATGCTGGTCAAAATCATTTATTAACTTTTTAATATGAACCAGTTTGTTGTAAAGAAACACACATCTATCCTTTTCTTCACAAAATTTAGGATTAAGCTGTCGCATTTTCTGATACGCTACTGAAATTTTTTTAGTAATATCTTGGTATTCTTTTGATCCTAGAGAAAATCCCTTTCTTTCTGAATCTAGGTCAATGATTGGTGTGCATGAAATCTGTATCTTGTTGTACATGGCTTGATATTCACTATAATTTGCCCTGAATTCCTTCTCATAAGACTGACGTTGGTCAGGGGAAAGTATAATGGAATAATTTGCCAAATAATCTGGAGTTGCAGATGTAAAACTGGTCTTCCCAGAGTCAGGGAAACCTTTTTTAACTTCCTTGTTGGAATCTGACTTCATAATTTCATCTTGTTTCTTAAAATCTATCTTTGGTTTCTCCATTGTGCTGGTAATGCAGTTTGGGATACTTGTTTTTCGCTTTGCAAATGCACATTTGAACTTCTCAGGCATAAAATGTGGTATTTCTATTGGCTTTGAATACTTTTTTTGAACTGAAACACAGGATGTAGCTTCCAAAGAAGTGTATTTATTCATCTCTCTTTCAAGCATGCCACTGTCATGGCTGATGTTGTCACATGGATTTTGAGTCCCAGATCTTTCTGGAGCACTGCAAACATTACAATTAGATTTTATGAGCAGTGGTGAATTTGAAATTGGCAGATGGGAGTCAGGCAATTGTCGAGGGATGCATTTGGTAGTAGTGGCAGAATACAACAGAATTCCAGATTTCTCACTGTTAAAACTTGCTTGGCCATTTGATGTTAACTGTCCACCAGATTTAGGGGGAAAGAATCCACCTTTATTTTTCATTAAAGTGTCAATACCAGATAAGGAGAGAAAATGATCCTTTGAGGATGATGAATCATCTGTTTTAGAAACTACAGATGACTCTTTGCAATGGGTGGCCTTGGTAGCATTGTGAAATGGGCGTAGCTTTCTGGAAAGCACCAAATCCAATGACAGCTTATCTTCCTCACTATAGCCAGGCCAATCTCTCTGGACCTCATTGAAGATACTGTCTTTTAAAGTATATGACAAAGTAGTAGCATTCAAATTAGCCACCTGCAGCAGAATTTTTCCAAGAAAATTGGGGTCATTTATTTTGATGCCATCTTTTTGCAGTTGAACAAGAAGTTCAGATTTCTTGTAGTCCTTAAGTGCTAGTAGGTGTATCACTCTGTCCCTATATGATCGAGTGTGGACACCAATGATTGGCCTTGACTTTCGTATGGCATATGCAGTGTTTAGATGGGTTGTTCTTTTCCTCTCGGGTGCTTGATCAGGAACAAAATGAGGCACTTTTCGAACGGGCACCTTTTTCTGTACATATGATTTTCTAATATTCTTCCATGTATTGCAAGATTTCTCTTCTGCTTCTGTCATTCTTGGTGAAGTCAGCTGAGAAGAGCTGGCACATCTATTCACTGTCATTTTGTCTTGAATAGATTGTGGGCAGTTGAATTGTAGGCGAGTAGAATTTGACATATTTGATTGGGAAATGCCAATTTTGTCTTGCTGTGTGTCATTACACACATTTGACATTTGAAAGTTAATGGTTTTCATATCAGTAGATGAATTGTTTGGTGTGATTTTGCTAAGATGTTGAAATCCTTGGAATTGAGACCCTTGGGAAGGTAATGAATGCTTACTGTTTTGGTATGGGGGACTTGCTTGGAAGATTGGTCTTGGAAACCCCATAGGCAGCCTGCTGACATTGCTCAGCCCTGGGTCTATACTGTCTGTCTCCTTCACAGGCATTTGTCCTACCATTTTTCCTGTTGCTTTGCCTCCAAAGGAAGTCAAATAGTCATATCTGTAAAGATCAATGTTTGAAAAAATGATTTTACTCTTCTTGGAATACATGGTTTATTATTACTATTGTTTATGAAAGTATACTTTCAACATATTTTATGCTAGTTGAACAAATATGAGAAATAATTGACTGAGGAAAACTTTGGACAGATAAAATTGTTCTAAGAATCTAATTATTTATTTTTCATCTTTACAGCTTCTCTTCATGTGGCCCTGTTAGCTCAAACTGAAAATATGTTATTCTCTGAATTTAATATATAAAAGTTATCATCTCCTCAGAAATTCAAGTAAAAGTACTAGATAATGGAACCAACACCTACAATTTGTAGGAAACTGGAGGAGAAGGCTTCCACACGACATGATTAAGAGCAAGTCATTACACTTAGTCTGTAATGAAAGACATCTTTTAAGTTTTTCATAGGATTGGAATTAGGTGTATCCATAGGGACTCTAACTTGTGACCACATAATTTATATTAATCATAGATAAAAATAAAAATTTATAGGTGTTTATTTTAGTCCTTAAGTCTCTATACATCTTTAATAAGGGGAAGTAATTTGCTCATAACTGTTTTTCTATCAGTCTTTCAATTGAGAGTCCCTATTCCCACTGATGCTTTTCTCGATAATCTTTAATTATACTATTCCTCTTATTTATAGTCTTCACATAACCATTCTATTTAAAATAGTACCCTATCATTCACAGTCACTCCAGAGCACTGTTTCCATTATCTGGTACAGAGAACATTTACTAACTGTCATCAGATTATATTTGCTTATTTGTTTCATGTATATAACTTTGACTAGGATATGGCTTTAATAAGGAATTGGGCTTTTTCAGTCTTCACATTGCTTGACTCCTATAGCTAAAGGTAACCCTTAAAGATTTAGGAAGCAGTTGGTACTTCTTAAACAAATTAATATGTCAATTCTATTCACTGTTAAATCTAATTCTTGATAGGTTCACATTACTAAATTTCTATTCACTATTAGAAATCCAGCTCAAAGCTAAGTTCATTTGTACCAACTATCATCAAAAATATTATTTCCTTCACTATTATTCCAGAGCATTTTGTATAGGTTCTATAAAAATAACATATATAACATTATCATCACATTTGTTTTTATACTAGTCTATGACCTTTAGAATTATACAGATCAATTTATGTGTAAATTTATTGACCCTTGTAATTTTTGTTCATAGTACATTTCTCTTTGAGCAATAGGTGCATAGGAAAATCAGTTTCTAAATGTCAGGAGAATAACTAGTAATACCTCTGCATTTCTTAAGGCGAAGATATATCTCTATCTCATCAAGATGTATATGAGTCTATTAATGTCAGAGAAATGTTTCATTCCTCTTCAATATTTTTCATGATTCCATAACTTCACAGTACATTTCTATAAAACAAAAATATGAAATAACTGATTCAGAAATAGCATGAAACCATTGCAATGCAGAAATATCATCAGCAATATAATGACTTCAAACATACATATATGTTATTTTATTCTTGCTGAAAATCCTTAGTAAATATAATCAGAAATAAGCCATCTTTCCTGCATTTATATCTATAGTATTTTAGATACTAAAAAATTCCAATTGTAGTCTTATTTCCAGATAACAACAAAATGTTTTCCGACTGAAGAATGAGAAAACAGGTACATTGTAACAAAAAAATAAAATTATTTTATAAACATAAAAGTCTTGAAAATATTGACTCAATATATTCTTTTTTATTTTATTAATTAATTACTCTTTCCAGGCTGATCACAGTTTTCCATCCCTCTGCTCATTCCAGTCTCTTTCTCCAATATCCACCTGCGAAGAAGCCATGTCCCCTCCATTCTAGTCAGAAAAGGGCAAGCCTTTCATATATTTCAGATAGCCATGGCATATCACGTAGCAGCAAGACTAAGCACATCCTCTCATATTAGAGCTGGATGCGATAACCCAGTAGAAGAAAAAGCTCCCAAAATTAGGTAACAGAGTCAGAGACAGTCCCTGTCCCCACTGTTAGGAGTCCTACAAGAAGATCAAGCTACACAGCTGTAATGTATGTGCAGAGGGCCCAGGTAAATCCCATGCAAACTCTCTGATAAGTGAATCAGTCTCAGCAAGTCCCTATGAGCTCAGGTTAGTTGATTCTGTGGGTTTTCTTGTGGTGTTCTGCTAAAAGAATTTCACAAATGAGACAAAGTGAATAGTTTCTCTACCTAATAATACAACATAAAACAACAATAAGTATCAGGATAGAGAACTAGAAGAAGGTATAGGAAAATAGATGCAAATGCATAAAGTACCAGAACAAACTAGAAAATAAAACTATAATAATCAATTTATAGATGGTAGAAAATTATATAAACATTGCTAAGTGCAAATTGTCAACATTTTAGCAAGGATATCAAGTTAGAATTTTACTTCATAATACAGATAAATTCTCTCTCTATATATGTATATACATAATATATATATAATCACAAGATAAATATAAAATTAAAAATATGACAACAAATGATTTGACATTTCAAAATGTTAGAAATAATTACATAAAATGTATTGTATATTTTTTATATTAAATTATTTTTATGTAATGAACTCATTTTACATAAGCAACCCTCAAAACTTGCAATCAAAGTATAAAAGGGTGAAGAATGTCAGAGTTGTATAGCATAATTTTGAGCTCTATATAATTCATACAATCCTATAAAGAATTAACTCATTTAAATGAATCTTATTGTTCAAATTATTGAACATCATTCTAATATACTCATTGATCTGTTGACATTAAATGCTTATCTCAGAAGTGACTGTGAGACTGAACCAGAATAACATATAAAAGTTTCCTACCAGTAAGACATATTTAAAGAAAATTACCTCATTGTTGCCCCAATCTCAAATTTGCAGCTTTTCCTGGATAACCATTTGGTGACTGATGAGAAGCTACTTTCTGATCCACAGGCTGTGTCTTGACAGTTTATGCTGGGATGTCAAAAGTGGTAGGGATCTCTTTGGGATTGCCTGTATAAGAACACTAATCTAATTTATAAGGACACGTGTTCTGTAACAGACAGAAAGACAAAACTTTATTAATCTGTCCAACTTATATACTAAGAAACATATATACCAACTTATGTATGATACCAAATTCCAGTTTGATAGCTCCTCAAAATATGGCTTTCATTATCATAAACACCCTATATAAACAATTGATAACATCAAAACCCAAACATGGAACAATTTTCTGTGTGAGAAAAGGAGGGAGATATGGCAGATATTACTGTACATGTTCTCTCTTTGTAGTAAAAGAAAGAAACATAAACACAAGTTCAAATCACTGTTGTTAATTTGCAACACCCTAGTCAAATTTAGGAATATGTCTATTCTTTCTTACCTGTGCATTGTTTTTTGTCATCATCTATGTTATGAGCTTTCTAGAGCACTATAGTCTCTGCAGTGTGCCTTCTCACAGCACTTATGCCCTTTCTATGTAACTAGCAACATATCAATCATTCTAGAACTTTGATACCACAATCACTAATCTCTTCTAGCATTCTCCATCCCCTGACTTAAAGTGAAACTTCAGTTCCCTTAAAGATATTACTTCAATGCTTTTGTTGTTGTTTTAAGCTTCTAATTTTGTTTTATGTTTTGTATGTTTTGCCTACATATATGCATAGTGCTCTTGTATGCCAGAAGATGGGATCAGATTACCTAGAACTCAAGTTGCAGGTGGTTGATAGCCACTATGTGGGTCCAGGGAATTGAACCTGAGTCCTCTAGATGACTATCCTGTGCTATTGAACTCCAAGCCATCTCTCTAGTCCCTGAAGTTTTTTTTAAACAGTCTTTATTATTTACATTCGATATCTTAGTTGGAGCTGCTGTAACAATCACAAACTAGGTAGTTTATAAATAGCAAAAATCTGAAGCTGGAAACGCAAATCAAGGTTTGTACACAGTTAATGTCTGATGGAAAGCTTTTTTTCCCTGAATTATATACAATGTCATATTACTATGTACTAGATAGCAGATGTGAAGAATTTTTCTTGGGTCTCTTTAAAAAACATTAGTTTATGTTGACTAATTCTCTGTCTCCTCATCAACTTGGAGGTGAAAATTTCAACATATGAATCTAGGCATGTAATGCTTAATTTTGATTACACATTTTACAGAATCAGAGATAAGTGTCTGGACATGTAGGAGAGGAATAATCTGTATGAGGCTTTTCTGCATTAAGATTTATTAACTCTTATCTAAGTTAGGTTTTGTGAGATGAGAAGATCTATCCCAAATGTGGGAAGCACTATTCTATTGAGTGGAGTTTGTTCTGCATAAAAAGGAGAAATATATCAAGGCACAAACCTAATCACTCTGTTTCCTTACTGTGGATTAAAAGTAATCAGCAGCCTCACATTCATGTTACCATTAAATTCCACCGCTATGGACTGTATTCCGCAACTGTGAGTTCAAGTAAGTACTTCTTCCTTCAAGTTACTTATTATCGTGTATTTTGTCAGAGCAATTAGAAAAGTAACTAAGTCCAAGTGTGACAAGGGTACTCAGGCCATATATTTCCACCCATATTTTTCCAAATTCATGTCTTTACATGAAAACTACATTAGTTTCAACAACCTCCTCCCCTGATATTAACATTTTATATTATGAGCTAAAACTTATTAAAACTAGAATCTTTCTTTTCTACATCTATTTATTCTGAGGTAAATTTCTCTATAGCTATGAACCTGTAAAATAAAAGGTGTTAAATGTCAAAAAAGGAATAGTTTTTAAAAAGGAGAATTATGAAAGAACCTCTCAACGAAAAAAGCCCAGGACCAGATGGTATCATTGCAGAATTTTCCCAGAAATTTCAGTAAGGGCTGATATCTATACTCCTATTCATATATACCTATATTCTATTCACATAATAGAAACAGAAGAGTCATTGCCAAACACTTTTGATGAAGGTACAGTTACCCTGATCCCAAAACCACACAAAGACTCAAAGAAGAAAGAGAATAACAGACCATTCTCACTCATGAACATCGATACAAACATTCTCAATAAAATACTGGCAAAACAAATCCAAAAACACATCAAAAATTATCCATTACAATCAAGTAGACTTCATCCCAGAGATGCAGGGATGGTTCAACATACAAAAATATATCAATGTAATTCATCATATAAATAAACTGAAAGAAAAAAAACAATATTATCCTTTTATTACTTGCTGAAAAAGCATTTCACAAAATTCAAAACTGCTTTGTGATAAATGTCTTGGAGAGGATAGGGATACAAGGATCATACCTAAATATAATAAAATCAATATACAGCAAACCAACAGCTATATCAAATTAAATGGAGAGAAACTCAAAGCCATTCCACTAAAATCAGGAACAAGACAAGGCTGTCCACTCTCACCATATCTCTTCAACATAATGCTGGAAGGTTGAATAATAGCAATAAGACAACATAAGGAAGTCAAGGGGATTTGAATCACAAAGGAAGAAATCAAACTTTCGTTATTTGCAGATGATAAGATAGTGTACATCAGTGACCCCAAAAACTCCACCAATGAACACCTACAGCTGATAAATACCTTCAGTGATGTGGCAGTATAAAAGATTAACTCAAAAAAATCAGTAGCCCTCCTATACACAAAGGATAGAGAAGCAGAGAGGGAAGCCAGAGAAATTTCACCTTTCACGATAGCCACAAATGGCATAAAGTATCTTGGGGTAACTCTAACCAAGAAAGTGAAAGATCTATTTGACAAGAACTTTACGGATTTGAAGAAAGAAATTGAAGAGGACACCAGAAAATGGAAGGATTTCCCATACTCTTGAATGGGTAGGATCAAAAGAATAAAAATGCAATTCTACCAAAGGATGTCTATAAATTCAATGCAATCCCCATCAAAATCCCAACAAAATTCTTCACAGACCTTGAAAGAACATTACTCAACTTCATATGGAAAAACAAAAAAATACCCAGGACAGCCAAAACAATCCTATATAATAAAGGAACTTTCTGAAGCATTACCATCCCTGATTTCAAACACTATTACAGAGCTACAGTAAAGAAAACAGTTTGGTATTTGCATAAAAACAGAGAAGTCGACCTATGGAATCGAATCAAAGACCCAGATATTAATGCACAAACCTATGAACACCTGATTTTCGACAAAGGAGCTAAAATTATACAATGGAAGAAAGAGAGCATCTTCAACAAATGGTGCTCGCATAACTGGATGTCAATCAGTAGAAGAATGAAAATAGATCCATATCTATTACCATGCACATAACTCAAGTCCAAATGGATTAAAGACCTCAATAAATTCGACTACACTGAACCTGATAAAAGAGAAAGAGGGATGTAGACTGCAACACATGAGCACAGGAGACCACCTCCAACGTATAACCCCAGTAGCATAGACAACAAGAGCAACAGTGAATAAATGGGACCTCCTAAAACTGAGAAGCTTCTGTAAAGCAAAGGACATTGTCATTAAGACAAAAAGGCATCCTACTGAATGGGAAAAGATCTTCATCATCTCCGCATCAGGCAAAGGTCTGATCTCTAAAATATATGAAGAACTCAAGAAACTGAACATGAAAATTCTAATTAACCCAATTAAAAAATGAGACACTGATCTGAACAGAGAATTCTCAACAGAAGAAGTTCAAGTGGCCAAGAGACACTTAAGGTCATGTTCAACTTCCTTAGCTATCATGGAAATTCAGATCAAAACAACTTTGATATACCATCTGACACCTGTCAGAATGGCTAAAATCAAAAACACCAATGATAGCCTATGCTGGAGAGTATGTGGAGTAGTAGGAACACTCATCCATTGCTGATGGGAATGCAAACTTGTGCAACCACTTTGGAAAACAGTGTGGCGGTTTCTCAGAAAATTGGGAATCACTCTACCTCAGAATCCAATAATTCCACTCTTGGGAATATACCCAAAATATGTCCAATCATACTACAAAAGCATTTGTTCAACTATGTTCATAGCAGCATTATTTGTAGTTGCCAGAACTTGAAAAAAACCTAGATGCCCCTCAATGGAAGAATGGATAAAGAAAATGTGGAATATAGATGCATTAGAGTACTACTCAGCAATAAAAACAATGACATCTTCAATTTTGCATGCAAATGGATGGATATAGAAAACACTATCCTGAGTGAGAAAACCGAGACCCAAAAAGATGAATATGGTATGTACTCACTCATTAGTGGACTATAGTCATAAGCAAAGGACATTAAGCCTAGAGTTCACAAGCCTAGAGAAGCCAAATAACAAGGTTAACCCAAAGAAATACATATATAGATCCTCCTGGAAATTGGAAGCAAACAAGATTGTTGGGCAATAGTTGGGATCATGGGGGTGGTGCAGGGGTGGGGATAAATTTGGGGGAAGAGGAGAGGGAGAAAAAGAAGGGAGAAAGGAATGACTGGAGAAAGCTTGGGGGAGTGGGTGTGTGGAGATGGAAGAAGAGCAGATATAGGAGCAGGGAAGAAGATATCTACATTAAGGGAGCCATTTTAGGGTTGGCAAGAGACTTGGCTCCAGAGGGGATCCCAGGTGTCCACTGGGATGTCCCCAGTCAGGTTCTTGGGCAGCAGAGGAGAGGGTGCCTAAACTGGCCTTTCCCCACTTCCACACTGATGATTATCTCAAATATCACCATAGAATCTTTATCCAGCTATTGATGGAGTTAGAGACAGAGACCCTCATCAAAGCAAAGGACTGAGCTTCCATGGTCCCAAGGAGTAGGCCTGAGCCAGGACTTCTGTTGGTCTTGGCCTTGGTCTGGGACATCAAAGGGAATAGGCAGGACCCTGAAACCTCTGCTGGTCTGACCACAAGTCTGGGACCTCTGAGGGATTAAGCCTTAACCAGTTTCCCTGTGATTCTGGGCACACCTAAGCCTAGGACTATTAGGCGGTACATTAGACAAAGCCAGAGACCTTTGCTGGACAAACTCCAAGCCAGGGACTTCTGCAGGAGGGGATCCAGACCAGGATTTACAGAAGCAGGTCAAAGTCAGTAACTTAGGCCATAATAGGCCTGAGACAGCAAACTCCAGGAGTATTTCACTGTCTCCAGAAACATGAAGTAACCAATGGGGTAATTAGAACTGTGGAACTGACTGTCCCACAAGGAACAACCATCTGAGCTTTGGATTCACTGGCACATAGAAGATTAATCAACAGAATCTCAGACAACCCCAACCACTCCTATTAGAAGAAAAGATTAATAGAAAAGGTAAGAACACACACACCACCACAAAGAACAATACAATACCAGTAAAACCTAAAGACCCTACAATAGCAAGACTTGAACAACCAAATATCGATGAAGCAGAAGAAAATGACCTAAAGAATAACTTCAGGAGAATGTTTGAAACCCTTAAATAGAGAACAAAATAATTCTTCAAAAAATGGAGGAAAAGACAAACAAAAAATTGTAAG